GCTGGAAGGGGATCCCAGTGAGTCCCAGCCTCAAACTGGGCAAGTCTGGCTGGGGAATCCCATCAGATCCCAGCCTGGAGCTGGGAGAGGATGAAAGGAGGGTCAGGAAGCTCCTGAGGGAATCCCCCGGGATCTGCGGGAGCTCGGGAATGACTTTTCCCTCCCCACAGAACGGGGGCACGCCCCTGCTCTACGCCGTGCGCGGGAACCACGTCAAGTGCGTGGAGGCCCTGCTGGGTAAGGCACAAACCCGCTCCCGGTGATCCCAGCCGCTGGAATCGCTGCTTCCCAGCCTCGGGAACAGATCCCGGGGGGCGAGGGGCAGCTTTTGGGGTCCCTTTTTCCCAACCCCTCGTTCCCGACCCGCAGCCTGCGGCGCTGACCTGACGGAGGAGGCGGATTCGGGATACACCCCCATGGACCTGGCCGTGGCTCTGGGACACAAGAAAGGTGAGTGTTCCCCTGAGGAAAACAGGGATTTTTGCCTCAGAAAGTGGGTTTCCCTCAGAAAACAGGGATTTTCCCTCAGAAAACAGGGATTTTCCTCGGAAAACAGGGATTTTCCTCAGAAAACAGGGATTTTCCCTCGCAAAGCGGGTATTTTCCTCGGAAAACAGGGATTTTCCTCAGAAAGCAGGGATTTTCCTCAGAAAACAGCGATTTTCCTCGGAAAACAGGGATTTTCCCTCGCAAAGCGGGGGTTCTGCCTCAGAAAATGTGGGTTTTCCCCTGAGAAAAGAAGGGTTTTCCCTCAGAAAACAGGGATTTTTGCCTCAGAAAGTGGGTTTCACTCAGAAAACAGGGATTTTTCCCTCAGAAAACAGGGATTTTGCCTCAGAAAACAGGGATTTCCCTCAGAAAATGGGGTTTCTCTCAGAAAACATGGGGGTTTTCCCTCAGAAAACAAGGATTTTTCCCTCAGAAAGCATGGGTTTTTCCCTCAGAAAACATGGGGGGTTTTCCCCTGAGAAAACAAGGATCTTCCCTCAGAAAACAAGGATGTTTTCCCCTCAGAAAACAGGGATTTTTCCCTCAGAAAATAGGGATTTCCCCTCAGAAAACAGGGATTTTTCCCTTCAGGAAACAGGCATTTTCCCCTCAGAAATCAGGGATTTTTCCCCTCAGAAAACAAGCACTTTTTCCCTCAGAAAACAGGGATTTTCCCCTCAGAAAACATGGATTTTCCCCTCAGAAAACAGGGATTTCCCCTCAGAAAACGTGTTTTTCCCCTCAGAAAATGGATTTTCCCCTCAGAAAACAAGAGGGAAACAGTGACCGGCTCCTTCCCAGAGCAGCTTCCCTGAATTCCACCCCTCTCCCACCCTCAGTCCAGCAGGTGATGGAGAACCACATCCTGAAGCTGTTCCAGAACAAGAAGAAGAAGAAGTGATTCCCGGGATCACCACGGCCTCATCCCACCAGGAGAAATCCGGGAATTTCTGCCCTCTGTGCACGGCTGCCATGCCTGAAATCCAGGGACACTCATTCCAGCCCTGGCTGGGCCCGGCTGCCATTGGAAGCAAACTCTTAATTGGAATTAAATTTGGTGGAATTAAATTTGGAAGCGGCTCTGTGGAGCCTTTTCTGCTGCATCCATCCCAGATCCATTCCCAATCCCAGTTTTTGGGGGAAACTGAGTCAAAGTCTTCCCCTCAGCATCTCCTGGAATTCCTGTCCAGAGCTGTCCCTGTGGAAAGGGAAGCTCCCATAACGCTGCCACAGCCAGGAGGAAAAATCCTGCGGGATTCTGGCAGACGGGAAACGTTAGATTTAAATTTAAAAAATTAAAATTAAATTTGCCAGGGGTGGCCCCAAAGTGACAGCACAGGGAGGGGACATTTCCCTGTCCTAAAGTCGAACCCCTGAGGGCTCATTTCCCAGGAGCAGCCAGGAAAAAGCAGGAATATATTTTATATATATTATTTTTATATAAATATATATATATTAATATATATAATATGATATATATTATATATAAATATTTATATAATATGATATAATAATATATATAAATATACATATATATACATGTATATACATATATATTTATATATAATATAATATATATTATATTATATATATTATATATAGTATAATAATATATAATAATATATAATATATATAATATAATAATATATAATAATATATGATAATGCATATTATAAATATATATTGTTTATATAAATTATTTATATATAATTTAATTTAATTTATTTTATTTTAATGGTCCCATCACACACCCGTGTCCCTCGCCGGTGTCACCCCAGGGGACACCAAGGTGGGGACAGCCCTAGAGCCTCTCCCCCAGCACCCCCAGGTGATAAACCACCACCCTCCCGAAGAAATCCGTGCTGCTCCCAAAGGTGATCTTCAGCTTATCCAGCACCGTCTCCTCCACCTGGAATTTCTGCGGCTCGCAGTGAAGGAATAACTCTGGGATTGGGATGGGGGACCCGCCCTGAGAGGGGGGCACAGGTGGGGGTCACGCCCCCCGCTCTGCCCAGCAGCAGAATTCCCAAAAAAGCCCCCAATTCCTTCCCCCCTCCAGCGCAGTCGTCATCCTGGGAAAGGATATTTGCATGGCGTGGCTGTCCTGGGGGTACAGCTCCGATATTTTCACCGGCTCCTCGCCGCTTCTGCAGCCTGGGGAGGGCGAGAGGGGAGCCTCAGGTACAACCAGGTGCGCTCCCAAAATCCAGCTCCTCTTTATTCACCCACGGAGCTGCTCCAGGTGCGCTCCCAAAATCTTCCCTGGCTCACAACTCCTCTTTATTCACCCACAGAGCTGCTCCTGGGGCTCCTGAGCCCTTCCAGGTGCTCTCCCAGAATTTTCCCTGGCTTCTAGAAGCTCCCAGCTCCTTTTTATTCACCCACAGAGCTGCTCCTGAGCCCTTCCAGGTGCTCTCCCAAAATCTTCCTTGGCTTCCAGAGGCTCCCAGCTCCTCTTTATTTACCCACAGAGCTGCTCCTGGTGCTTCTGAACCCCTCCAGGTTCTGTCCCAAAATCTTCCCTGGCTTCCAGAGGCTCCCAGCTCCTTTATATTCACCCACAGAGCTGCTCCTGAGCCCTTCCAGGAGCTCTCCCAAAATTTTCCCTGGCTTCTAGAAGCTCCCAACTCCTCTTTATTCACCCACAGAGCTGCTCCAGGTGTTCCAGAACCCCTCCTGGGATTTGGGAATTGCTGATAAATCCCTCTGAGCCTCCCTCTCACAACCGGCAGGATCCAGGTGTGGGTAAACTGAGGCAGGACCCCCGTGGCACCCCAGCAATCCTCACCTTCCAGCGTGCACAGCCGGCTGGAAAATCCCCCCTGGAACTGGATGTGGAGCTGGGAGACCCTGACGGGGCCGGGGAAATCCAGGGTGACCCACTGGGACGTGCCCTGGGTGGGGACAGGAGCGTCACGGGGGGGACACGGAGCGGGGTGACAGCTCCCGTGTCTCCCCCCCCGGGCTGTCCCCACACCTGGTCCGAGTTCCAGCAGGTCTCCTCGCTGCCATCGAACAGGTGCTGCTTCCCGAAGTGCTTCACGTCCCGGTTCAGCACCGAGCTCACCCTGCGGGGACATCAGCACCCCCTGTCCCGTCCCCAGGGACATCCCCTGGCAGGGCCGGGGGACAGCGGGGACAGCTGGGGACACTGGGGGGACAGTGGGGGGACAGCTGGGGAGAGTGGGGGACAGCAGGGACAGCGAGGGGACAGTGAGTGACAGCGAGGGGACAGCCGGGAGAGAGTGGGGGACCACGGGGGATAGCCGAGGGACAGTGAGGGACAGCGAGGGGACAGCGAGGAGGGGACAGCACCCACCGCGTGGCCGTGCGGGCACAGACCAGGGGCTCCAGGGGCATCGCTGCCTGCCGAGAGAGCTGCTCAGTGAGGGGCACAGGGGGACACCAAAACCAGCCCTGGGGACACCTAAACAGAGCTGGGGACACCCAAAGAGCACTGGGGACACCCTAACAGCGCTGGGGACACCTAAACAGCCCTGGGGACACCTAAACAGCGCTGGGGACACTCAAACCAGAGCTGGGGACACCAAAACAGCGCTGGGGACACCCAAACCAGAGCTGGGGACACCCAAACAGAGCTGGGGACACCTAAACAGCCCTGGGGACACCCAAAACAGAGCTGGGGACACCCAAAACAGCTCTGGGGACACCCAAAATAGCGCTGGGGACACCCAAAACAGCTCTAGGGACACCCAAAATAGCGCTGGGGACACCCAAACTAGAGCTGGGTGACCCGAACCTTCCTGGGGACACCTGGGTGGTAACGGGGACACCCAAACCAGCCCCGGGGACACCCAAACAGAGCTGGGGACACCTAAACAGCCCTGGGGACACCCAAAACAGAGCTGGGGACACCCAAACTAGAGCTGGGTGACCCGAACCTTCCTGGGGACACCTGGGTGGGAACGGGGACAACCAAACCAGCCCTGGGGACACCAAACCAGAGCTGGGGACGACCGGGGACCCTTGGATCGCACTGGGGACCTCCCGAGCAGCACCGGTGACACCCCGACAGCAACGGGGAGCCCTGCGCAGCCCTGGGGACCCTCGGACAGCAGCGGGGACCCCCGGGCGCTGCTCCCCGCTCCCCTCCCGGTCCCGCCGGGGCCGCCCCGCACTCACCGCCCGCCGCAGGAAGAGGCGGAGCCCCCGCCCCGCTCCCGGTGTCCGGTACCGCCCTCGGCACCGCGGGGCATCGGGGATGGCAGCTCCGTGTGCCCCCACATCCCCCGGGGTCACCCGAGACCCCTCCGTGTCCCCCACATCCCCCGGCGCCACCCGAGACCCCTCCGTGTCCCCCCTCCCCGTCCGGCCCCGCCGTGCTCGCCCCCGGTACCGCTCCCGGTGCCCGCGTGTCCTTGGGATCGGGGGGATCCCCCCTTCCCTTCCCGGTGCTGGGGGGACACGGGGGGCTCGGGGACCTTCCCGGGACAGATCTGCAGGTGGCACTGGCAGGGACAGGGACAGGGACAGGGACAGGGACAGGGACAGGGACAGGGACAGATCCCCGCATTCCCGAATCCCTGAAATCCCGCATATCCCTGCATCCCTGTATGTCCGTGGAACCCCGCATCGCCCTGCATTTCCCTGCATCCCTAAACCTCTGGATTCCTGGATCCCGTCATTCCTGAGCCTCCGCATCGCTGCACGTGCCTGCAATTCCCTGCAGCTCCTGAATCCCTGAATTCCTGCATCCCCACACACCCCTGCAAATCTCTGCATATCCCCGCAAATCCCTGCGTGTTCCCGCATCCCTGCATTTCCCTGCTAATCCCTGAATCCCTGCAGATCCCGGAGTTCTTCCACAGCCCAGCAATGCTGCAGCTCCCAGCTCATCCCCGCTCATCCCTGCATCCCTCCATCCCCGCACCTCCCTCTCAGCCCCGCATCCTTTCTCATCCCTGCTCATCCCAGCATCCCTGAATCCCTGAATTCCTGCTCATCCCTGAATTCCTGCTCATCCCAGCATCCCTGAATCCCTGAATTCCTGCTCATCCCTGAATTCCTGCTCATCCCAGCATCCCTGAATCCCTGAATTCCTGCTCATCCCTGCTCATCCCAGCGTCCCTGAATTCCTGCTCATCCCCGCTCATCCCCGCATCCCTGCCCGCCGCACCCCCGGCTCCGCAGCCCCGCAGAGCTCCCGGTGCCGGGTGAGTCACGGCGGCCGCGCCGAGGCCGCCTCGGCTCAGTCACCGGCAAAAATAAACCCGGAGAGAGCTGCGGAGCCACCGCCCCCTCCTCGTCCTCATCCCCGTCCCCATTTCTGTTCCCACCCCGGTCCCATCCCTGTCCCCATCCCTGTCCCCATCTCCGTCCCCATTTCTGTCCCCATCCCTGTCCCTGTCCCCGGGGCTCGGCCCCGGCTGGGGACACGCTGCCGCCCATGTCACACACATGTCACACATCAATGTCACACACATGTCACACACATGTCACACGCCTGTTCGCACACCCGCGGGGACACACGACACAGCAGCACACGCGTGACCGGCTCTGCCTTCCTCCTCCTCCTCCTCCCTTCCCCCGTCGAGTTTCGCCTGAGAAATTGGGTCAAAAACCGCAGGAGCCTCATTTGCCCCTGGGCTAATTGCGCGCCTGGGGACAGAGCTGCCACTTCTGCCACCGCCGTGCGCGTCACCTCCCGCACGCGCGTCCCCGTCCTCATCCCGGGGACCCCCGGAACTGCCGAACCGGGAGGATCCCGGTGATCCCTGACCCTCAGATCCCTGGGATCCGGGAGGATCCCGATGATCTCTGACCCTTCCTCTGCTGCAGAACTGGGAGGATCCCGGTGATCCCTGATCCTTCCACTGCTGTGGAACTGGGAGGACCTCGATGACCCCTGACCCTCAGATATTTGGGATCCCGGAGGATCCCGGTGATCCCTGACCCTCAGATCTCTGGGATCCGGGAGGTTCCCGGTGTCCCCCGACCCTTCCAGCCCTGCAGAACCGGGAAGCAGTGCCCCATCCCCGGAATCTTCAGCCTCATCACCTTCCTCGCAGTCGAGGAACGCGGGGCCGTGCCGGGA